CAGACTGGCCCACACACTTACTGGGTGGGTCACTCTGTTCAGGCTGCATTATAAGGTTCAGTGTATAATTGGGGCTTCTCTTGGCCTCTCAAAAGAAAGTTTTGACCTTCCTGTAATGATTTATTTATATATTTATTAAAACTGGGGGCAGGGGCAAGGGCTGTGATGCATACCCTCATTCAGCTGACTTGATTTTGTTCTGCAGGACGAACACGCTGTTAGAGAAGGTTGCCTTGGCGGTCGATCAGTCGGCGTTCTACAGTGCTCTCTGGGGTAGCCTCCTCACAAGCCCTGCAGTTCGCTTGCCTGGGATCACCTATGTCCTCTCCCATTTGAACAGGAAGCTTTCAATGGAGGATCAACTCTACATCATTGGCAGTGACATTGAATTAATGGTAATGTTTTGTTGGAACAATGCAGACATTGGTGTTATTTATATAACAGTATACTTCCAGGGCGGTCAGGTGTCTTCTCTACCTTTGAACATAGCCTTTGAAGAGATAAAAATGCACATTTATGTACTGTATCTCCAGTTAAGCTGATGATTTGGTGCATGATAAAAGTGTTGCAAAACTGAGTTAATGTTTCAGAACTGCTTAGGTTTTGTATAAAACTTTCCATTCATGACACGCTTCACTTAAAAGTGGTTGCGTTTTGTTGTATTTTTTAAAAAATTTAGAGTATTATTTTGTCTTTTAAACTTAAGATATTGATTGGTAATGTAAAAAAGCAAAAGCTTAATGTTTGTATAGTTCAGGGAAACTGTGTTGATTATATGTTTCCTCAGTGGTGAAACTTTATTCTCCTGTTTTATCTTGTTTCATTATTCCAAATTTTAAAATGACTTCATTTCATACATATCACTATTTATAAACAACTGTTCTTATTTTGTGAATGTTCTCTTATATCTATCTTCTTAAAATAACACAGTAAATAACTATTTTGGGGGGTCTGCTGTTACTTCAGGTGGAAGCAGTAAGCACATCAGTGCAAGACACCAGTGTTTTAGTACAGAGGAGCACATTGGACCTTATCCTTTTTTGTTTTCCTTTCCACATGAGCCAGGTAGGTTATTAACATGAGAGATGAATTGGCAAACTCCTAAATGTACTCCACTTATTAAGTCTGTAGCAGTATTTAGTCACTATTTGTTAATGATTTTCTCCAAGCTTGACAAGAGTCATGACAAGAGTCATACGTAAGAGTTTCTCCAATAGGTTTGGCTATTCTCACGTCGTTATCTCTGCCCTTCTGCTTTTTAACTTGATGTGTTAACTTTGAAGTTAACTTTAACTTCTGTATATGCAAACTCAATATAAATTACAATGTTTAGTCTATGCAGAAACATTTAATTTGCTTGAATTTGATCCGAAAACAAATTATCTGTTCATGTGCGAGTTTCCAATTCTTAGTGTTCAAAAGCAGCAAAAGTTAATCCTCTTAGCATAACTGATTCAAAACACTAGAGAATTGAAAATGATTATTGGTTTTGGGTGAGTAGTTAGGCCTATCAGTAGTGGGAGATAGACCTTACAACTTCTAGGTAATTTTTGAGGGGCTGCATTTGTTGTTAGTCGCTTTCTGTTTTTAAATGCTCCATGATTTATTTTACTTCTGGAGGAAAACTTATACAAGGTTGATTCTCACCCTGTTAGAAATTATGGAAAACCTGCACTTTCCTGTAAAAAGAACTGTGTTCTTGCTTGTGGAAGTAGTTCGTTCACATTTATCAGTTACTATAGGAATATTTGGAGTGTCCTTGTTTAGGTGCTAGAATGGTGAAATTATCAGTACAGCATTTTTTTTTTTAATATTAGATTTACACAAACATTTAAAGTAGTAAGAGATTGAAAGGTATTTAAAATTCTCCAGTGATTTTTTTTTTTTTTAAACTGGATTTTAGTTGAATTTGCTTCCAAGGCTTTTGCGTGTGTGTTCCAAATAATAATAATAATCATATTTGGGTTTCCTAAGAGCAAGATTATGTTTTCTTGTACTATTCTGAATTCAGAAATGTCAGAACATGAAATTAACTATGTTTTAGTGCACATTGAGCTGCTAACATAGAAGAAGTGTTACTTCTCAAGGTTAAATTTAATCATGTTTCTAACTTCAGGCAACACGTCCAGACATGATCAGAATTTTGTCAGCAGCCCTTCATGTAGTACTGCGCAGGGATATGTCACTCAACCGAAGGCTTTATGCATGGCTTCTAGGTAGGTTTGTATTTCATTTCATTGTTGACTAAAAGTAGACGAAGGATTGTATGTTCCTTAGCAGTATTTTGCCATATTGTAGAGAAAGATTCTTGGAAAAATGAAATGCTTAATTTGTATCGTAAGGAAGAAAGGCACTATCTCTTTCCATGGATGTAAAAGATGAAGAATGTCATGCTGGAACTCTTTCCTGTTATATAAATTATTGGTACATTTTCCTATAGCAACAATTATGGTCAATATTCAGGGGTAGAGCCTGGTGCACTAGGCATGTGCAAATAGACACTGAAAGGCAAAATAAAAAGCTTGTAATTTGTGTGCAAACTGCTTGCATGGAAGTATCACTTAGTTTCCTGTATTAAACTCTATAAAATCATCTTTCTCTTGCCAACATTACTTGGACTTCATCTTGGTAAGTTATCAGTGCTAGTGTGTTGATCTCTAGTTTAAAGAAATTGGCAAAATACTCTATTAAGAGACAAATACTTATTTGCCTTGTCTTTTGTTTGCTGGAAGGTTTTGATAACAATGGTGCCCCTATAGGACCCAGAAGTACAAGGCACAGCAATCCAGAGGAGCATGCCACTTACTATTTCAACACCTTCTCTAAGGAGATGTTAGTCCAGGTAGCTATACGATGTTTTATTGTGGCATATATCTTCATAAATGGATGCTGATCAAATTTGGTTTTATCTTTATCTTTTGACTTGCCATTTCAGTGTGACCATGTAACTTCTGTCTTTTTGTGGCATTGTGTCCTACTCTTCTAAAACCTTCTCAGTGGAAAATGAAGTGGGATAATGTGTTTCATTAGAATAACAATATGATCAGGAGAAATATTAGATTTTTCTCTCTCCTCTGCCACAATGAATGTAGCATGCATGGAATATATTTGATTATAAGCCCAGCATGCTGGAGCCTGTTCTTTCACAAAATGGAATTGGAGAATTCTCTTCTACTTCTGTAGATGCAGAAACTCCTCTGTGTCTTGGGAATTGGAAAAATTTGATCAGATAGTACTCAGAAGGTCTGAGTAAGAAGGGTCTTCCTCCCCTCTAGACAAGAACATCATCTTTTCTGCTGTCTGTTGGCAGTCAGGAATAGTTGAGCAAATTGACAGTCATACTATTTGACCCTTAAAGCCTTGCTAAGTGAGCTGAGATCACCTGGCCTCAAGATCTGTGCTCCTTCTCCGGCAGTAATTAAAGTATACAGATGTCTTTCAAGATGCTATGAGTCTGATCTTGAAATCAGGAAGACATTTTATCATCAAGACGAATTGATAAGGTCAGAACAGTCAGAACTGCAGGGCTACATATGGGAATGAGAGTGGGGATTCCAGTATTAGAGCTGACACAAGAATATTTAGCTCATCACAACTTAAACCTGATATCCAGCACAGAGCTAGCTAGCACTTTCAGTTTTGTCTGAAGGTAATGAGATCTGCTGTTCTACTGGTGAGGAAGAGACCCCAGAATCCCAGTGCAGCAAGGACCTCGTTGGCACTCTCTCACCCTTCTCTTGTCACCCTTCTGCCTCCCATGGCAGATGATTCAGAAATTATCCAAGTGCAGAGGAGAGGCCTGAATGAGATACAGTTTCACATGTCCCTTCTATACAAAATCATTTAGGCATTTGTTAATAGGTTATGGTCTTCCTTTTAAATCTGTCCATCTTTCTACCTTAACCAGTGTCATTAAAGCTTTTGTGTCTGAAAAGACAAACAACAGTGAGAGTTGATATAGTCTATTTGATATTTTTTTTTCTTTTTTGTGGTAGCAGGCAATACTGCTACGGTAGAATGGAGTGTAGCCATTTTTTGTAACAGGGATAATTCATTTATTTTTTGCTTTACATTTTTTACGGATGTTAAAATCAGCAGCTTGGTCTACATAACACAAATTGCATAAGCCTTCTAAAACCATTTGCTGTTTTTTGAAAGACTTCAAAAGCATTGCTCCTTTCTGCCGCCTTCTCTAGCAATCTCTTTGTGTGTTCTTTTATCCAGCCCACCCCCATCTTATTCATTGGTACAATATACTGAAAATTCTGACCTTCTAAAGGCATATTCAAGTACAGAAGATTTTTCTTTCAGGATACTGGCTGATAATACTTGGTTTATAGCGGATAGCAAGGTCAAACCTGTTTTCCTGCATCGCTTCTTTCCCATCTCTTCTTTCTTTTCTTTGTCCTTTTTTAGAAGCTGTAAAAGAAACAAACTAGTTTCGACTCAGACAGCAAAGCCAGCCACAGAGAGAAAACTAAGCAAAATCTATGACAGTTTTGTTGGGCTTTTTTAAATTCTTCAGCTTGTTCCCTAAACTGCTTCAGTACAGAAACTCAGTTTTCTCAATTGTTTTGTAGTTATCATGGCTATCTAGTCAACTTAGTTAAGAAAGTTTTCTGCCACATAGGTGGGTATATCCTAGATGGAGAGATTATTTATTAAGCTCTTAATATCTACATGCCTTACCTTCTTAAACAATTTCTTCATCACTTTTCATGTCTTCTCTTTTATTCTTATGAAATTTTGAGTTGGTATCTGTTCATAATATTTTTTTTAAGTATATACAAGTTGTCGAGTTCTGTTCCACAGAAATATTCTCATAGGCAAAGTTAAGAGAATATTTAAGCATGGAGAGAATGAGCTGCAGTGAGATGAAATAGTGGTCTCCACTACAGAGAATTTTCCCTTTATATGCAGCTTTTACTGCATCTTTCTTTCAAAAACTGTTTTCTGGTTTTGTTTTTCTTTTCCTGATACACTTTTGCTCTTTATAGGCAATGGTTGGAATATTACAAGTTAACGGGCATGGAGAAGAAAGCACATTAATGCAAGACTTAAAGCCTTTTCGAATTCTTATCAGCTTGCTGGATAAGCCCGAACTAGGTAATTTTCATGTTACTTTGTATTACTTCTAGTCTTTAACTTGTTTTACATGGTTTTGCTTTAAGAATTTTTCTCTCGTTGGTCAAATTGAAAAAGTTGTGTTCTTAGTACTGGCAGGTTAGCTAGATTTTTTAGATCTTTCAAGCAAATAATTTAATGTATTCATTATATTTACCTTTTACCAAATGCAATTTCTTCTACTTTCAACAGAGAAAATAGTAATTTAAAGTCATAGAGAGAACTGACAGCATGTTGGAAGAAATGCAGATTGGATCTTTTCCATTTCTTTAATCAAATAGTGACTTTCACTATTTTAAACCTCAGCTGTTGTTTTGGGGAATAATTGTTCTTTCTTCTAATTTACACGTAGAGATGAGAGATTTTTTTTTCCCCAGACAAATTTATGCAGAGGAAGCAAGTATTTTTTTTGGTTTTGTGGGTGGTTTGTTTGGGGTTTTTTTGTTTTGTTTTGATTTTTTAAAATTTTCCTTTCCCCCATTTGAAGTGTTTAAATGCACTTTTCAGCAGGTGAGTGCAGAGGACTATGGGACAAAAGTAGACGAGGCAAAAGTATTTACAACAACTAAGTGTTGGATATCTTACCTCTAAAACTGTTACTCCAATAAAAAAGGCGACTGAAAAAATCGAAATAATTTTGAAGTGTATCTTAAGATTTGGGGGTGGGATAATAAATGCGTAAAAATACAACAATTAAAGAGTACAACTTGAAAGGAAGTAGCTAAGACAGACCGCAAAGAACAAAGTATCTGACAAGAATTTGTCATCTTCCTGGTAATTTGTCTTTTCTGGGGGTCAGTTTAAATTTTCAGAGACAATGTGGACATTAAGATTTCATGAAGTAAGCAGAGCTATGAGGATTCTTTTAGCAAACTGAGATGGGAGAAGCTAATAGGATTTCTGCTTAACTCAGTGAGCCCACTCTCACTGAAGACAGCTCAATGAGGCTAGGAGAAAGCGTAAAAAACCAAAGGATATTTCAAGCAGGATCACTTTGTGAACTCCTTTCAAAATAAGCTTTTTTTTTTTTTTTTTCCTTCAAACTCGAGATTTTGCTCAGATCTGAAGAAAGCGCTATTTCAAAAAGTATCCTACAGACTATATCTGTAATTAAAGAAAACCTGCCTCAAATTAAAAGGAAGATGCTCAAAATATTTTACCTCGTATTTGCATTTAAATATTTGAGTATATTTTCCATATGATAACAACATGAGCTAGCTTATGGGTGGGTATTTGAAACTGGTTGGTTGAAAGCTACCTTTGATCAGGAATTCATGTAGTTACATTTATATGTTACTGAGCTGAGCTAATAATCCCTCAAAGAGGGGGTGTTGGCTTGAACATGGGCTATACTGATGTGACTGCATAGCTTTTAAACTAGGTGTGTTTGTATCCAGCCGTCATTGTACACACATTGTATGGGCAAAGAACTCTGCTTGTGCTTTGTATACTCCCAGGTATTACAACTGGCTGTGTATTTCTGGAATGCAAAAAAACCCTTATGAAATTGAGGTAGTTTATGAAAATGAACAGAAGGAATTTTATAGTTTCAGTGACCAAAGCTAGCTAATGATTTGGATAGTTTTCAGATGTGGACTGTTAGCAGTGCTATAATGCATAAGACTGTGATTGGTGGTATTTCTCCCTAGGCCCTGCCATCCTAGAGGATGTATTGATTGAAGTGTTTCGAACATTATATACACAGTGCAAAGCAGAACTGGAGCTTCAGGCAGAACCTTCTTTCAACAAAGATCACACGCAGCTAAGCAGGTGAATAATGAGTGTAATGTATTTTGTATTAAATAATATATCTTTTTGTTGCTAAACCATGACTGTGAAGCCTGTGGACCTGTGACCTGGTTTCTTCATGATACAGGATCCATTGACATTAATTGCAACTTCTGTGTTCAATGCAAAGGTCTGAAGGGCTATAGCTTTTTTTTTTTTTTTTAAATGTTTAGCATATGTTTTATTCTTTATCCATGACAAAAATGCTTGCTTGATGCAGCTGGAGGTCAACATGTCAATATTATAGATTAGTTGTGGCATTCTTTACATCTGTGTTCTTTAAAAAAAAAAAAAAAAGTGGACTGATGAGCTTTCTTGTAGAGTAAAAATGAAGAGTGCTACAAGACAGCCAGAGGGGGGATAAAAAGAATTTCAAGATTTGAGCTGAATATCTCAAAAGGTAAAGAGAAGAGGGAAGTTCAAAGCCGGGGGGGGGAAACAACTGTAGGAATGATCATGGGAAAATAGATCTATTAAAAATGTGGTTAGAAGACAAATACTAAAGAAAGGATAGAGAAGAAACCTGGCAACCGTGAAAAGACATTGATATGAGGAGCCTGCCAATATACTGCCCTAGAGCAACAACCACTGTAGGGATGACAGGAGGAAAATTTGTCAGTGTTAACTGGCAGTGAGTAAACTCAGTGATGTGTAGTTACATAACTTGGAAATGAAGTGTAAAAATATAAAATGTTCTATTTTCTTTCAGCAAACTGAGAGAAAACAAGAAAACAGCAGAATTGATTAAAACTGCCAATCTTCTCTTCAATTCATTTGAGCCTTATTATATGTGGGATTACATTGCTCGTTGGTTTGAAGAATGTTGTAGGTAGGTTATAATACTTAAGCTCTATATGTAAAGATGAAGTTGACTTTTTTGTTTTATAAGCTTTTTTCCTTCAAAGTAGTTAGTCTAATGTGATCATTTAGTCTGTAAGCCTTTTTATTCCCCATCCCTTTATCTTTGATCTTTTGGCCAGTTTCAATCAGATGTGATTGATGGTCTCAGCAGTGTGAGTTCATAGAATCATAGAATCGTTTAGGTTGGAAAAGACCTTTAAGATCATCCAGTCCAACCATTAACCTAACATTACCAAGTCCACCACTAAACCAATTAAGGGTAGAGTAGCAACCCCATGCTCCTGGCTTGGTGTCTGGATCATTACGATTGGAAAGGACCTCTAAGATCATCAGTCCAATCATCAACCCAACACCCCCATGCCCACTAAACCATGTCCCAAAGTGCCACGTCTGCCTGTTTTTTGAACTCTTCCAGGGATGGTGACTCCACCACCTCTCTGGGCAGCCTGTTCCAATGCTTGACTATCCTTTTCGTGAAGAAATTTTTCCTAATATCCAATCTAAGCCTCCCCTGGCACAGCTTGAGCCCATTTCCTCTTGTCCTGTCGTTACCTACTTGCAAACTCAGTGCCTGTGTAAAATCAAGAGACAGAATTAGCACCTCTGCTGAAGGGAATACTCCAGAGTGATCTCAAAGCTAGGTTTTTTTGTTCTCTCTGTCCAGTACAGGAGTACTCATTGGGTGTCTAGCAAACCCGTCAGCTTTACCAAGAGCGACTTGTGGAATGCGTTATCTTTTGCCCCACTTTTAGGGAAGAAAAAGTGTGAGAGTCCTGTACGTGGCAAGGAGGGCTATGGGAGGGAACATAGTAAATAAGGGAGAACTGAAACTATTAACAGGAGGGAGGGAGGGGGACCAAGGGACCACAGGAGAGTGCAGGGGTTGTTGCTGTGGCAAGGGATAGATGATGTAGGGATTTCAAATGAAATTTGTAGAAAATTTTTTTTCATTGCTTATGGAATAGCTTAATAATGTATTGAGATATTTGAACACTAAGTTGTCTATGAGCCAACAGTGTGCTGTCATAAGTAAAGAAAACTGTCTTGGGCTACATTAGGGGGAGCATGGTCAGCAGGTGAAAGGAAGTTATTTTTCCTTTCACTTAGTGTTTCTAAGGTCACGTGGAATATCGTGTCCAGCTTTGGGCATCCTGCTTGAGGAGGAGTGTTGAGAAACTGAAGAGGCTCTAGTAGAGGACTAGTAAGATGGTCAGAGTCATAGGACACTGCATGGGAGGTTGAGGTAGGTGAGCTTGGTTTAGCGTGGTAAAGAGGGGCCTTGAATAGCAGCCTATGACTTCCTGAAGGGCGTTTGCAAAGTTGATACAGCCATACTTTTGGTAATGGCTGATGGTAAAAGAAGGGACAGCAACAACAAGTGTTGGCTCAGGGGTTCAAGTTGAACTTTCAGAAAAGCTTTGCTAGGAACATAGTGCAGCAGTGGAACAGGTTACCCAGGAAGGCTGTGTAGCTTCCTTGGGAGATTTCCAGGACTCTGCTAGATAAAACTGTGGTTAAGTTTATCTAGCATTGTTAGCAGTCCTGCTCAGCGAGAGAGGTTGGACTAGATGAAATCCCTTCCAACATGTCTGTGACTTAATTTTTCGGTATTGGACTGAACTGCTGGAGTAGAGAAAGCAGCCTACAACCAACAAACAGCAGGTGAGAATTTCCCTACGTATAAGTAGATGTTACTGTAAGCATGGATACCAGATTGCCTTATCAATAAATAAATGGAATCTGGAGAATGTTTTTTGGGTTTTTTTCTACATGAGCTGCTGTCTTATGTAAGTTACTGTCTTTCTGTTTAAAAATATACGCCATTAAGTGAAAACATAAATAGTTGATTTTAAACCATGAATTTGTAAGTTGCTTTTGTATCATCGTCTGATTGCTGAATCACAATTATTACTTTTAAAACTATTTAGATATCCGTCTGAATTTCTTAGGCTTCTTCTTATGATTTTCTCCCACTAAAAATTAAAAATAGGATTTCTTGTATCTAGTGTTTTTTCCCATGTAAGTATTGCTCACTGCTATTGAGCCTTTTCTCAAAGCTATTTTTGATAAGGGGCTCAGTGAGTTGAATTCACATCATCCTTTATGAGGTATTACAGCTGAATAAATCTGTGAGTAGTTTATGAAATGGTAGATCTTTCTGGGTAGGAGCACAGAATGTGAAAAAGAATTTGTGTTATGACTTACACAAAGGGACGATTTCACTGAACTGTAAAACAGGCTGCTAGTTTTATGAAGAGAATTATGTGTTGTTGGAGAGATAGAGTAATCTAATGGAGGTGTGGGTTAAGTACTAGAAAGTGCTACTTTTCAAATGTAGGTTACTGACAATGCAATTTAAATATGATTTTTAAAAACAAAAATCTTTTGATAAATACTGTCACGGTTTCAGACTTGGTTTCTGTAATGCTTCTATTATTTCAAATAAATCCTTTTTTCAGTCCTGGCATAAATGTTCATGAACCCTTCCAAAACAGAAGAAAAGGGTTAGCATAACTAACTATTGCTGAAAATGTGTCACTGCCCTCACCACCACCCCCAGCAGAATAAATGAATTGGAGAAACAAAATACTATTGTCAGATTGCAACATGATTTCACAGGAGATTTGTGTTCCATCTTACTTCACTCAGCAATAAAACTCATCAGATTATGAATTCTCGTCAATAGTAAAACAATGCAATCAGCTGAATTTGAAGTGGACATTTAGAAGAACTTGTTTTATTTTCCTTTTGGACAGCTTTAAAGCTTCATGGGCCTTTTATTTCACTTTTGGTTGTCTTTGTGTCAAGTGCTTAATGCCTTGGGTTTAAATCTCTTCAAAATTACTGTGCTTCCAGTAACACTATCCCTTAATTCTGTTATTGGTGTCCATGCTCATACTTGTAAATATTGCTGTATATGGTGGAGTCACAAATGCAATTTTCTGTAGCCTGAATTTCCTTATTTTATGAATGAAGACTGGTTTACAGTGAAAGGCTGGTTGCTGCTTTTTCTGAAAGCATGCAATGGGGCCAAATGAGCTACTTAACAGTAAAATGAGAGACTGCTTATTTGTTAATAGGGATTATCCCTGATGTGTACAGCTCTGCATTAAGTTACAGAAACATGGTCAATGTAAGGGGGAGGGAAAAATGTTGTGAAATCCTCTTTGAATTTTGCAGGAGGACATTACATGCCAGACTTCAAACTGGGCCTGGAGGTGGTAGTGAGCAGTCTGAGTTACCCCTGACAAATTTCTGCTTGTTAGTGGATTTTTTGTTGGATATAGTTTCTTTGGTAAGAATTGCTTTATTCATTGCTAATACTGGGATTCTCTATATTTATAGTCTACAGAAATACTATATCTGCTTTATTAATTGTTTTTCCTGAAAATATATTGCCATAAATTGGTGGAGACCTTTAGAAGAAGTTTTGGTTTCACTGTATGATTCTTGATAGACTGGTTGGATATAACCAAAGTGGGTTTTATGATGCTTATACCTGTAAATTTTTGTCTGTCCTCGATTTCTTTTCTCTTAAGACTACACTGCATTCATTATAAGTATAGTCTTTTGTAGTTTGATATGCTAGTTCAGATGTCCAGCTTTCTTTTAAGGCTCTTTTCAATGTCATGATAAGATATATCTTCTTTTTCTGTTGGTATTGCTTAATGTAGCAAAGACTGTTGGAACTGTTTTTTCTATACCTGTCTTTCCTCAATTGTTTGCTTTCTCATTTCAAAGCCTACTAGAAGTATGAGAGTGCTGTGTCAGGTATGGCAATCAGCCTGTTTTCCCTTTAGTTCTTAAAAACTTGTTTATCTTTCATTCTTAAACTTTTGTATTAAGGTTATTAAAATAATAGTACTAGCATTGTTTAGCTTTATTGTTATGTTTTGTAATGTGTTTGTTATGTAATGAACAAGATGTTAAATTCTGAAAAAGAGCTAAATAGATTTCTATTTGTTGGTTACCCAACTGTAAAGTTAATTTTGTAAATTTTTTGAAGCAAATAATGTATTTCTTATTCTTGGATATTAAGATATTAATTTTCCTTTTTTCATGTTCCATATGTTTAGAACACAGTTAAGCACATAATAGGTACCACTGTTATAGAAGATAACTTTCAGGGTGGAATTTGGTGTTACGATTAAAGAGTTTTACTATTACTTTGTTAGGAGACTTACATTGAAATACAGACAGAACACTTGCCTCAGCTGTTGCTCAGGATGATTTCTGCGTTGACGAGCCATCTTCATACTTTGCACTTGTCTGAGCTTACTGATTCTCTCAGACTCTGCTCGAAGATCCTCAGTAAGGTTCAACCTCCATTGCTGTCTGCTGGTACAGGTGGTATCCTGCAGCTTCCTAGTGGACACAGCAGCTCCATCAAAGAATGGGAAAATAAAAAGGTAACTGATTATGTTTTGCAGCATCTTGGAAAAATACATTTTGCGTGAAAAGGAAAAGTGGGCTTTCTAAGTCTGTGCTGAACCACCTACAAGTCTTTGATTAGATTTAGTTTAATATACAATACCCATGAAACTTGGATCATCAAAGGAAATTATAATTGTGCACTTCATTGTGGTAAAAGGTCTTGATTCCTAAGGGGTTTTATCTAGATTTAATATTATACATGTATAAATCACTTCAGAATCAGGGCCTAAGAATGAATTAATCAACTAGGGTTTGAAGCTGTAATACACTTCAAGAGTCTGATTATACAGAATAACTGGACTCAAAAGAATTCTCCATTTTGGTTACATATCAGGCATATGTAAATTCTCCTCTCACTAAATTTACGTGCATGAGTTTAATACCCATCAGTTATTTTACTGTCACTGTTAAGAACTTAGAATCATTTAATAAAGAAATAGGAGAAACAAACCAGCCAGCAGCTTTTTCTCTTTTAACGTTGTCTAGTTTGGTCTACGCACCCATGGCTCTGTAAGGTATGTTAAGTGACATGCCCTGAAATCCTTGTTCTCCAGCTGAAGAAACTAGAGGAACATTGTAGAATCATTAGGTTGGAAGTGACAGTTGCAGGTCACTGCTTGAAGCAGGGCTGATTTCAAAGTTAGATTCTACTTTAAAGCTAGGTCAGGTCCATCAGGATCATATCCAGCTTAGTTTTGAATATCTCCAAGGATGAAGATTCCATAACTTCTCTGTACAGCTTGTTTGTTTGCACTGTGTTATTTAATCAGAATTTCCATTGTTGCAGCTTTTGTTCGTTGCCTCTTGTTCTTTCACTGTGGATTTCTGAGCATGCCTCTGTCTTTTCAACTACTTAATGGGAAGTCACAGACAGCAATAAAGACACCTTCTCCCCCTCCACAACTCTTAGAATTCCTTTTCTTAAGACTGAGCAAATCTAACTTTCTGAGCTTTCCTTCTATGTCAGGTGCTCCTGTGGTGGCCCTCCACTGGGCTTACTCAAGTACATCAATGTTTGGTTTTTACTAATGAGTGCAAACTTGGACACAGTATTCCAGATGTGGTGTTAAAACTGCTGAGCAGATGGAGCTAATCACTTGCTTGACTTGCTGGCTGTACTTTTGCTAATATGGTCCTGTATGTGGTTGGCCTTCTTCACCAGAAGGGTCCGCTGCTGGCTCATGTTAACCTTGTCCATTAGGACTCCTGCATCTTTTATGCAGGATCCTATCCTTATTCTTTCTAGCCAGCTGATACCTGTCTGGTTTTTTTCTTTTGCTTGGTTTTTTGGGTTTTGGTTGTTTGTGGGGTTTTCTTTGTTTGTTTGTTTGTTTGGGGTTGGTAGGCTTTTTGTAATAAAAGCATGTTTTGATTGAATGATGTTGCCCTTTGAACCTTCAGCAGCCTTTTTCCTTCAATTACAACTGATTCGTATGTGGCCGTGGCTTCTGTTAAGAGATAGAGTGAAATTAATTTCAGTGTTTCTGATCTCTTTTGTGGTGTATTTCATAAGACAGGGTCACCCTTTATGTCTTTCCAAGCTTTTTAGTACATATTAACACAGGAAACAGTGAAAGCTATCTCAAGCAAATTTTCATTTTCACTCTTACTCCATTTCTGGTAAAGCAAGATGTAATTCACCATATATAATGATGTATCTGTATTTATTCATAAAAAAGTGATTCAGATTTTTAAATTATGCTCAAATTCTGTATTTAAGACTGCTAGTGAGTAGGATGTCGGACAGCAAGACAACTTCTGGGCCTGTTAGATCTCAGGCAGCATCTGCCATTGCCGGTAAGATAGCTAGATGAGAAGTATGTGGGCATGTTCTTTACCTGCATTTACACCCACTGATCCATGCATTTCTGTTTAAGTTGTTTCCCTATTCACCTCACATTCTCACCAGGAAGCAGAGACTGTGCTACCAGTTACCAACAAGACTATAGGGGGTTAGAGCAGCTCAGAAAACCGCTATGGGTTCTTTTTGAGTAGAAATAATTTGTCAGATTTGTGCATATTCTGAACTGATGAGGAACTAAAGGCGCACAGTGAGTCGTGAAGAACTGTTGTTGCTGAAGCAACCCTTCTTTCTTGTTTCTAGGAGATGATTTTGTTTTCTTTCTAGTTGCAAATGGTTAGTTTTTGAATGAAAGTTTATTTCTCCTTTTACAATTGTAAAACTTTATATTTGAAAGAAATTCCCAACTTCTGAATCTCAGGATTGGTATATAAAAAGAAAGATGCTACTTAGTTAAAGTTGTACCATACAAACATCTATGAATTAAGATTTCACACACATTTAAGAGACAATTTCTTAAGTCAAAGAGCATAAATTTTATTGAGAAATTGAGCTGGCTTTATTAGTATAAATGTGGAAGTGGGAGAAATGTTTTTAAGGTTATAAAAGATCTTATTCTTCATTTACAGCTCCACAATTCACTTTTTTAAGGTGTTTTGACAACTTAAATTTGTAATGTTGAATGACACTGATCCTGCCTTCTTAATGGGTCAAAACTTTTCATAGTTGTGGTTCTTCTATCAGTGGTATATCTAGACAGTTATTAGGTTAAAATAATTTAATATTAATGTGATTATTTACTTGTACAGTGGAAACTTCAAAATCGTGATCGGAGAAGCATATACTTCTTCCTACTCTCATCTTCCCATTCTTCTTGGCTGACATCTCCTTTTTGTCTCCTTTGCCTGCAGGCATTTTTACTCCTTTATGACTGCAGCAGTTTCTGATTAACAGATAAATATCTTGTCCTTTTGTAGAACATGCTAAAATCAAAAGTATTAAAAGAATCTTGCTAGCTAAAGTGACCATGAGCAACACAGTTCAATGTCCTGCTTCCTGCTGGAAGTGAGGGGTTTTCTTTGATGTATGAATATTTTGGTTTATGATGCTGTATAAATTAATAATACCTGTGCCTATGCATTTCAGCATTCTTTCATAAAAAATAGACATGATTATGATATAAGAAAATGTTGAAAGCAATAATATTTAAAGTATTTTACTTGATAAACAGTGCTTTTTTTTTTTTTTTTTTTTTAATGTTTTCTTTGGTCTGGCAAGCTTACTGAAACACCAGACGTCATTTTGCGTAAAATATCTTTATATGAATAGATTTAAACGGTGGAATAAAATTGTTGCTTTCAAATGGAGAAGCGAGTAATTTCTCACTAGGACCTAAATAACCCATTTTGAACAATCATTAAACTTGTATCTCACTCAGGTGCCATCAGTTTCTCTTGAAAATCCTAATGATGTGTTTGAAGATGGTGAAAATCCTCCAAGCAGTCGATCATCAGAAAGTGGATTCACTGAGTTTGTACAATACCAGGCAGATACAACTGATGACATTGATAGAGCACTGAACGAAGGTCACGGTGTGCCTGGCATTCCTATTATTGGTAGCACATCCTCAGAGACTGAGACAGCATCAACTGTGGGATCTGAGGAAACCATTGTACAGCCTCCTTCCATAATGACACAGGGGACAGCAACTCGAAGTGGGAAAACGATCCAAAAGACTGCAATGCAGTGCTGTTTGGAGTATGTCCAACAGTTTTTAACCAGATTTATCAACCTGTATATCATTCAGAGTAATTCCTTCTCTCAGTCCTTAGGGGCAGAGCTTCCAGTAGACCCCACTAGAGAGCAAGGACAGACCACAAAATGGGACAGAGAATCACAAGTTGATGCTAAGGTGAAGAAAACAAACAAGAAAAAAACACCGAAAGAATACCTTCCTGCCTTTATTGCTGCTTGTCAGCTGTATCTTGAATGTTCAAGCTTTCCCGTTTACATTGCTGAAGGAAACCGTACTTCGGAATTACATCCTGGGAAGCCTGAAGTTGGTAAGCTGCACTCTTCTTTTTTCTTTGCTTTTAAAATATTAAATTTCTTTTTTTCCAAAAAAATTTAAAGTAATAGTATTCACATTTTGTGTGTGTTGCTGTTTGCTGTTCCTCTCAGAAATGCAAGCTGCCTTCTGTATCAGTTGGTTTGCTTTTTGGAAACTAAACTATTTTCTCATAGATTTTAAGACTGTTGCTGGCATGAGATTTGATGCTAATTAATATTGGGGTGACAAATATAAGTTATGCAAACAGAAACCTTAGAGTAGAATCTAGATTTTCAGATGTTCCTCTTTACTGTATGGATCCACGATGTTTTCTTTGTCATATTTTGTAGTAGCTACAGCTGAGATCAAGTATGTTTTTAGCTTCATTTTAGCAATTTTGGATTGATGTGCACATTGATCACTTTGTGCAATACATGGAAATTATAAGCTTCTGTCTGCTAAAAATCATACCAGTTAAGAAATTAATTGATTTTACTTTGCTCCTATTAAAGGAACAGGTTTTGCAAACAATTCTTCTAGCAACAGTTGCATTAGAAAACAAAATAAAAATGGTGGGTTTTGTGAAGCGTGAATGTGTTCACAGATAGGTGAACACATTCAGATCCAGATACAGAAATGTGATTAAAATGTTGACAGTTCTGGATTACTGTAAAATGTGACATTTTAGATGGACAATCCTGTTTACAGGTTGTAAATTCTTCAATTAACAGTTCTAATTCTGGTTCCACTTCTGGTCTGTAGCATGAGTTGCTGCCTTAAAATGGCATCATAGTGGATATGCTTGGAGCATGAAAGAAATAGTTGTAATAATTTTGGCTACCATCAGTCGTCTTCTGTGATTTTATTTTTTCTAGGAAACTTCATGGTTGCAGCTTTTTGTTCTCATCCACAACTTTCAAAATCTGTTAAGGGCTAAGCAGTGGGCATTGCTTGGAGATCAATAGTTTTTTGGCTTTTGGAAACAAGCATGTTAATTTAACATGACTGCTTCTTCTGTTCCTGTAGTCTTTAAGATGTGTTGTGTATGTCTTCATTATACAGCCAGGAACAGAGCATATCTTTGACTTTGTGAGATCCAGACATATCAAATATTTGTCAGTTGAAGGCAACTTGGTTGTAGCTGTTTATTAATTAAGGGTACGGCAATACTAAAGGGGTGCTACCTTTTGTAAAAGATCTAGCACAGGATATTTGTGCTTCTGTAGCATGACCCTGAAAAATGTCATTTTCTAGATTTTTTCTTTTTTCCCCCCCCAAACACTAGTAGCCTACAAATGAGTGTTGTGGCAGAATACTAAAAATATTTTTAAAAATCATCTGTTTGCTTATTACTT